CATCTCACATCTTCCTCCCACAGCCCTGGGGTCCTGTAATCGACCCCATCTGGTTCAACCTCAGTACAAGCAAGATAAGTGAACAAGAAAAGTTTGCTGTCCAGTTGTTAATACCATCTCCTCCCACCTACTCTCAGATTCAGTTCTGACACTTTGCACTCTGTAGGTAACCTATAATATCCCATTGTTTGGACCCGTGTTCCTTATTCGTATACCGTTTTCTTTTTTTGAGACACAGTCTCACTCTGTCACCTTGGGTAGAGTGGTTAGAGTGCAGTGGCATCATCATAGCTCATAGCAACCTCAAACTCCTGTGCTCAAGCAATCCTCCTGCCTCAGCCTCCCAAGTAGCTGGTGCTACAGGCATGCGCCACAACACTCAGCTAATCTTTCTTTCTTTCATTTTTGAAGACAGAGTCTCACTGTGTTGCATGGGCTAGAGTACCATGGCATCAGCCTAGCTCACAGCAACCTCAGACTCCTGGGCTCAAGCAATCCTTCTGCCTCAGCCTCCCAAGTAGGTGAGACTACAGGCATGCACCACCATGACTAGCTAATTTTTTTTTCTATATGTTTTTAGTTGTCCCGCTAATTTCTTTTAGTTGTCCAGCTAATTTCTCTCTATTTTAGTAGAGAAGGGGTCTCACTCTTGCTCAGGCTGGTCTGAAACTCCTGAGTTCAAACGATCCACCTGCCTCGGCCTCCCAGAGTGCTAGGATTACAGGCATAATTTTTCAGTTTTTAGTAGAGATGAGGTCTTGCTCTTGCTCAGGCTGGTCTTGAACTTCTGAGCTCAAGCAATCCTCCCGCCTCAGCCCCCCAGAGTGCTAGGATTACAGGTGGGAGCCAGCGCACCCAGCCTCCTTTTCTTTTCATTTCTATGCTTTTGCTTTTCTGGGTTGTTTTAGTCTTGTTATTTGTTCATTTTCATTATCCTTGATTATTTCAATTATTCTCTGATGGTGAATTTGCAGATTTCACATTCACTTCTCCTTTGAGCTATGTGAGCAGCCATCTTTAGCGCAGGTATCCTGTGTCAGCCTCTTTCATGGCCATAGGCCCATTCCTGTAACTTTGCAGCTGTGCGGGCCTTTGCCAGCTCAGCCTTTCTATTCTTAGGCCTTTCATAAACACCTCTTCTGTAAGACTACTCATCTGTAAAGACAGTGCTGAGTGGGGAATCATACTGACAGTGCCATGGTCCTCCGATGTGAGACAGCCATCACAGTCTCGACATTTGAAGACCAAAGGTAAGCAGGCAGTCCTCGAACACTTCATTCACTGATTCAAGCAGATGGATTTCCAGACACTGTAAGGAAGGCTGGGAATGCAAAGATGAGTGAGAAAAGATCTTTTCTCTTGAGAAATGAACAGTTTAGTGGGCTAGGCAGCCAGCTATGTAAGCTTATAATTGCAGGGAGAAACAGTTTAATAAATATATGTATGAAATATTTTCTTAGAAATAAACAAACACCAAAAGGACATATACCAAAAGTTAGCATTGGTTATCTCTATCAGACGATTTGTTCCCTTTTTGCCTATCTGTATTTTCAGAATTTTTCCTTCAATGTGTATTTATTACATAGAGAAAGGTAGCATCTACAGAAAGCAGCACAATGGGATACACACTATGTTGGAAGTGGGCACAGTGTCCTGAGGAAGCAACTAACTCATCTGGGAAATCAAAGAAAACATTGTAACATCTGCCTCTTCTAGTCTTACATATGTGTCTCTCACATTCCAACCAAATGCAATGCATGGCCTTGTTTGGATCCTGGTTCAAGCAAACCAATTGTAAAAATATTAACAGTATAAGACAAGTAAAGAAATTTGAACCCCGACATGACATTTGATGACACTAAGGTAGCATTATTATCATGAGGTATGTTAAAGGTACTGCAGTCATATTGGGGAAAAATAATTCTTATCTTTCAGATAAGTATATGTACATACTTATGGATGAAATTACATGAATTCCAGGGGTTTTATAGGAAAATAACCATTGGGGATATGAAGTGGCTGGAGATATAAAATAGAAAGAATGCTCATGAGTTAATGATTATTGAAACTGGGTAATGGGTTCATGGGTACTCATTTTAATATTTTCTCTTGTTTTGTGTTTAAAATTTTCTATAATAAAATATGCAGTAATAAATAATATATTTTTTGTAATAAATGAAAACATCCTTGAAATGTCTCTATCTTTAAAATGAGCTCGGCCAGGTGTAGTGGCTCATGCCTGTAATCCTAGCACTCTGGGAGGCCGAGGAGGGTGGATTGTTCAAGGTCAGGAGTTCGAAACCAGCCTGAGCAAGAGTGAGACCCCATCTCTACTATAAATAGAAAGAAATTAATTGGCCAACTAATATATATAGAAAAAATTCTCCAGGCATGGTGGCACATGCCTGTATTCCCAGCCACTTGGGAAGCTGAGGCAGTAGGATTGCTTGAGCCCAGGAGTTTGAGGATGCTGTGAGCTAGGCTGATGCCACGACACTCACTCTAGCCTGGGCAACAAAGTGAGACTCTGTCTCAAAAAAAATAAATAAATAAAAAAATAAAATAAAATGAGCTCAAAAGGCATATTCTCCACCAGTGAACAAGCATACCACAATTGAACCATGTGTGTTGAAAAATACACAAGCGGCATCGACAAACTCACATGCATTGTATATTGTCTATTTCATAATCATCTGATCTGTGTCAATCCCATTTGTCTTGTAATTTCAACATACATTTTTATATTATCAATATTTATAGTGTACTTACATATAAGAACCAAATATTTTAATCTTTTCACCATTAACAATTATATCAATTATGTTATAATCATGATACTTTTTCTCTGTTAGGCTATAAAACTAGCAGTGACTAGTGTCTTACTTATCTTTCTATACATAGCAACTATCTCAATACTTGCTACATTTCAGATGCTCAATAAACATCTGTTAAATGAGTGAATAAATAAATGCAATTTAGGATTACTCCATTCAAAGACCTATATTAAGTCTAGTGGAATCATCCATAAGTCTGAAGAATGTAAACTAATTCATGCCTTACAGTTTACTAAATGCTCCACTGCTCATTTGATCAGAAACATAACATGCTTCTAGATTTAGTGTCCATTTAACACAATCACTTTGAATCCAAATGGCAGAGAGAGGTAAAATACCTTTTTTCTTTTGGGAAAGCAATGCAAGGCACTCAGTAGCCATCCTTTACCTTTATTTCATCCTGAATTTCTCCCACCTGCAAACATATATTAAAGGGAGAGGTGAGTCAGGAATGGGACAAAGGATAAAGTGAAGCTGAGGGATTAGGTCAGTGAGAGAGTGAGTCTCAGTGAGTTTCCCATCTCAGGATCAATAAATGACTATTTCACTTAATATTAGGTAATATTCCATAAAGGCCAAAAGCATGTCATAACTTACTTTTTTAGATTGGGACAAAAAATATTCTTGGCATCAAAATGATTTGTTCAAAATATGTACCCATTTGATCTCTGCAATAACAGTGTGGGATAAACGGAGCCTGCCATCTCTGTTTTAAAGAAGAAGAAACTAAGGAAATGTACCCTTCATTCAACCTGGGATTTTAAAAAGTGACAATTTTTTTAAATGCAGTATAGTGGGATAATAATGTTATGTTATCACTGCCAAGAAAGAGCTATTTGCTTTGAAGTAGCTGTTAGATTTATAAGTACCCTTTAGATCCTTAAAGGAAGTATTTGAGTAATTTCCAAACTCAAAAATCTCCAGAATAAGGGAGATTTGTTTGTCAGCTTGGTTGTTTGTTTGTTTGTTTGTTTTTAGGTACTTGAACTGCTCCTTGAAAAGCAGGGTGCAGAAATCAAAGGCCTGATTGTGCTGAATCCTTCTCTTTGGTCATTATTCAGACTGGTTCCCAGCATGCTGCAGTCCAAAGGAAAGGGTCCAAGTTCTGTTTAAAAATCCGAGACTAAAGAGCTTACTCAGCACCCTATTCATATTGGTGTTACTTGCATTCATTATTTAAAATCTTTTGATAGCTCTTTGTATGCAACAACCTTCAGCTCCTGGAAATATATATTCTCAGAAGACAGGAAGCACCTCCCTGACTTAGTTATGATGAAAAATGCTTTTCATGACTATCCCCTCTCTTGAAGGACCCCTGGAACAGCCAGGTCCTTAGGCATAATTAAATCCCAGAGAAGAGTTTTACAGATCTGCAGCGGGTTTGTTTTTGTTTTTGTTTATTTGCTAATTCACTGTGTGTGTGTGTGTGTGTGTGTGTGTGTGTGTGTGTGTGTGTGTGTATGTGTGAAGAGGGAGTTTTTCATTTGGTGGGGAAAGGAGAATTTTAGAATGAAACTGCCCATTGCTGCTTGGCTATTCTCAGGACTGATGAGAACACCTACTCTTAGGGGAATAGACAATGATTTGTGTTGTTGTTCCGTTTCAGCATCTAAAAGAGTGAGGGTGTGTTGCAGCAATCTGACTATCTGGAAGAATGGTTTTTGAATTTCCCAATTCAAAAGACTTTGTAGGGCTGAGACACAACAGCATCAAGGAATGCTTGGCATGCCAACACAAATCACAAAAAAACCAGGGCTTTTCTAAGAATACTAGAATTATATTTACTTTTTAAGTACAGGAAGTGGAATGGAAAGAAGGAATTCTGGAGAGCAGATACCCCAGAAGAATCCCAAAGCAGAACTCTTCGCACAAGGTTATCCAATTCTCCTTGACAGGTGCACAAGCAGAGAAGGCATTCGGTCCTTGAGGTGACATTTCCTTGGGAGGTTATGACAATTATGTCTAGCTTACGGCAATCCAGCTGACCCTGAGCGCAGGAGCATCGCTGCGACCGACCGACCGCAGCAGAGAAAACACGCTAGCCGGTCTGTCACCCCTCCCGCGTCCCAGTCCCGGGGGACTGGAGTAGCGTTGGAGTCTCTGACGCCATCCCTTCCCGCCTCTGGCTTGCACAGAGCATGCGCTTCCTCCTCCCTCACTTCCTCTCCAGGAGGGAGCTGGAGTAAAGCAACGCCCCGGCGGCCCCGCGGCCGGCTGCGCGTCACAGGAACTTCAGCACCCACGGCGCGGACAGCGCTCCCCTCCACCTGCGGACCCGGCTCGCGAGCGCCCGCAGCCCTTTCCGACCCATTCGCTCCGAGCCGCGCCGGCTCCGGCGGCCGCCCAGTCCCCGCCACTCTCCCTCCCCGCACCCGCCCTCCAGTCTCTTCCTGTTTTTACGCCTCCTTTTCATTCATAACAAAAGCTTCAGCTGCGGGAGCCCGGCGCTGGGCTATTTCTGAAGCGGAGCGTTGAAAGAATGGGGTTCCTTTGGACTGGCACTTGGATTCTGGTGTTGGTGATCCACTTCAGCCCGCTACAAGCTTTCCCCAAACCGGGAAGCAGCCAAGGTACGTGGACACTTTTCTTTTCCACAGCTCCCTTCTATTTCACCACGAAAAGGTAAAGCTTGACATAATCCGTGAGCTGTAAATCTCACGCTGCCTCCTAGAAAATGATCAAATCATATCCATGAACATTGACAGAGAAATCAGTTTGCGTTTAGAGACAGGAAGACAGATTTTTTTTTGCTTTACTTTTTCAAATGATAAAACAATAACATGGGTGGTTTTTAAAGATCTTATTTTGAAAAAGGGAGACCTTTTTTTTTTTAACCTAAAGTGGCTGGGATTTGTTCCTAGTTGTTTTACCACCTTTCTCAGATATTCTATTTATAATACCAATCCAAATTATGCTCTCTCTAGTTGTGAATAGCTGGTAAGCCAAGTGTTAGAACCGTATGTTAGATTTCTGGTAAGAAAAAAAAAAGTGTGATTCTATAATATTAACTCAGGAAATACACCGAGAGAATATACAAAGCAACATTGATAATTATTGTTATTGTATAATCTTGATAATCTTTGTTAATATATATTTGGTTTCATAGTCATCCAAAAATATTTCTAAATATCTGTTTCTCCTTTTTGATGATTTTATTCAAATGAGACATATTTTGTCTTTTCAGCACACAATTAAATTTATATCTGTGTGTGTTTGTTCTAGACAAATCTCTACATAATAGAGAACTAAGTGCAGAAAGACCTCTGAATGAACAGGTAGGTCAAAAGTAAAATTAGAAATGCTATTTCATTTTGCTTTAGTTATTATTACTTAGTGTAATTATGCTATGACATTTTGGTCATTTTGAACATACAAACTTCAGGAGCTTAATAGTAAATTGAGTCTACCCACAGCTGAGATGTGAAAACAAAAAGAAAAAAAATTTTAAGTTTCTTTTAAGAAATATTAATTAAAATTTAAAAATAGTAAATTGACAGAAATTAGTATGGGAAATCTAGTTTTGGTAAGTTCTGTGCCCTAATAGTTATATACAGGGAATTTTGTATGATACATAGAGCTGACTGTATAATAACCCAGTAAGCTCAACATCATACCCACTCTATTGTAAGATTGCTTAATTAACCAGAGATTAATCCTTCACCAATATTATAGGAGAAAGGAATGAATATTCATAGAGCATCTTCCCTTGATTTTTATCTCATTTAATCCTTATAACAATGCTTTGTGATAGGAATTATTATCTACATTTTACAAACAAGAAAACTAAACCCCATGGAGATTAAATCATTTAGCTCTTATACTTGGTAAGTAGTGGAGCAATGGTTTTAAACCTGGTCTATATCCTATTTGTTTCACAGATTGCTGAAGCTGAAGCAGACAAGATTAAAAACACATACCCTCCAGGTACAAAGACATCCTGGTGATGTTAATTTAAATAATGTAGACTATGAAAATCTCAACTAAAATGGCTATGTTGGGTTTGGGGGCTTTTCTTCCAGAAAACAAGCCAGGTGAAAGCAATTATTCTTTTGTTGATAACTTGAACCTGCTAAAGGCAATAACAGAAAAGGAAAAAATTGAGAAAGATAGACAATCCATAAGAAGCTCCCCATTTGATAATAAACTGAATGTGGAAGATGTTGATTCAACTAAGAATCGAAGACTAACTGATGATTATGATTCTACTAAGAGTGGATTGGATCATAAATTTCAAGGTAAATGTGAAAAAAGAACTGTTTTGCCACCTATTTTCTCTAACTTGGAGTTTCCCACAATAGGTTAATAGAAAGTCCTATATTTTAAAAATATCTCTTATACACTCATACTCTTTTATTAGCCAAGTCCAAAATTGAGATAAAGCCCAAATTTAGTGATAGTATGCAAAGTTCCTGTTCCACAGAGTCCCAAATTTTATTGTCCATTTAAAAGTTCCTTCACTGATATGCTTTGAAAAAATTTTTAAATCTATATTTTGTTATTGAATTCATTTTAACATTCCAATTAATTTTAACAATTAGTACAAAGAAAATATAATAATTTTCAAATAATTTGATCAATAAAATACTCCCCCCAAAAGTGAATTAGCCACTGTTTCCTTTTTAATGTTCTCCTTCTAGCCATATCCTTTCTTCTTTAATCATCCTAACCTTTCCATGGCTTCAATTACATCCATATCCGGATGTCCCATATCACTAGGCCAGACTTCTCTGAGCTATAGACCTATTTAACTGTCCACCTACTTAACATTTTCCACTGGAAGTCTCAGAAGCACCTCAACCTTATCTCTATGCATCCCACCCTGTTTAGAGTGCTTTTTCTTTAGGAAAGGGACTACTATCCATCCAATTTTTCAAGACAAAAATCTAGGATCAAACTATTTCTTTTTTCCCTCACCTCTCAAATTTTTAAGCCACCACCAAATCTTATTAATTTTACCTCTCACTTATCTGTCAATGTTTTTTTCTCTATCCCCAATCACCACCACTCTTGTCCAAGCTCTAATCACATTTCACTGGAACCATGGCAAAATCTACAATTCTCCAGGCAAATGCTATCTACCTTCTCCAACTCATTCTTCATGTGGCAGGCAAAGTGGCCATTTCGACACACAGATATGAGCATGCAACTCTTTTTCATAAAACCTTTTAGTAGAGTCTAATTTCTCTTAGGCTAAAAACAAAAATCCTTAATGTGGCTTCTACAGTTTTGCATGGACTGGTTCATGTCTGCATTTCTAGGTTCATCTAGCACACATGAGCTAATAGAAATCTTCTTACTTTCCTTCATGTCACTTTATGCAGTTTATAATTTTACCTTCATTAAGTGTGACTGCCTATGATTAATGTCTTTCTCCAAAACTAAACTGAAAATTTCACAAGAATAGAGATATTGTAGCCCCAGAGTCTAGATGCTCACAAATTCATTGAATGAATTTATAATTGAATGAATGAACAAATGAAAGACTACATGAGGGAATAAATGAAATGCTTTAGGTAGACACTGAAGAAGTGAATGTTTTCTATTCTGAGGACCAGCGCTTAGGAGTGAGTGAGTGTACAGGCTTTTTTCTATGTCTTTATTCTGTTCCATGTCTACAAGAGAATCATGTTGATTATTTCTGCCAGAAAACAATGGACAATTAAATTGAACTTTCAAAGGACATAATAGCCTGAGGAGAGTTCAGAAGTGTGTTGTGTATCTATGAGTTGGGGTGGCAGCAATGGTTTATATTTTGACACATGTCATTTTCCATGCTACTCAGGGAAATTTGTTTTTTTACTCTTGGATTCTACTTTTTAACCTAAAATATTTGGACTAGACATAAAGAGACACTGATTATACCTGCATATAAAACAGATTCAATCACTTTGACTAAATTGACCATTTGATTTAATAAAAAAAGAAATAGTGTAATGTTTGTTTGACTGGATTGGTTAAATTGCTTCTATATGCACAAAAGAGACACAGATCTGTTTAGGATTTGACCACAAACTTAAGTAATATTTAAATTGTTTAACATTTTATTACCATCCCAAATATGTTTGCAACTACCAAGTGCTAGTCCTGATGGCTTTAGGTTTGCCCTAGGAGTCATTTAACTCCACTTGAGATCCCAAAGAAGCTGGGCGAAGGTTCTTGGAGAGATTGTATATGGAAAAGCTTCTGGTCTCCATTCATGGCCTACAAATCCTGGGACCAGAGGATTTAGAACCACCAAACTGAATAGAACATCAGAAGGGATGATGTAGTTTTCATCCCAAAAGGGAGTGTAAAGTAGACTAACTTCTGCAGGGTGCATTCCCAGACCTAGTTAGGAAGTTAGGAAACTTACAAATGGGCTTGTGCTATAAGGGTCCCTCAGTTCTCCTTTTCAGTATTTTTTGTAGTACACATGGTTTAGGATTTTTCCAAGTTTCTTTTATAAAGTAGTGTTTTGGGACTACAGGTGCATTGACCTGACAAATACATATTGAGAATTCTATGTATCAGACTACAAACTAGACAATAAGTTCTGTGCAGTTGGGGACCATGCCTAACCTATTTATCACTCTATTTCCAGTATCTGGCACATATTAAGACTTTAATAAAAATGTATTAAACAAATGAATGCCAAGTGCTATATTAGATGCTATGGATTCAAAACATAACGGGGGGGGGGACGGTGGCAGCACGGTGGCTCACACCTGTAATCCTAGCACTCTGGGAGGCCGAGGCAGGAGGATTGCTCGAGGTCAGGAGTTCGAAACCAGCCTGAGCAAGAGTGGGACCCCGTCTCTACTATAAATAGAAAGAAATTAATTGGCCAACTAGTATATATAGAAAAAATTAGCTGGGCATGGTGGTACATGCCTGTAGTCCCAGCTACTCAGGAGGCTGAGGCAGCAGGATTGCTTGAGCCCAGGAGTTTGAGGTTGCTGTGAGCTAGGCTGACACCACAGCACTCACTCTAGCCTGGGCAACAAATCGAGACTCTGTCTCAAAAAGAAAAAAGACATAACTGGGCAGATGATGACTTGGGACATGGCCCCTCTGATATCCACTCAGAATGTTGTGGCTACTTAACGAAAGTTATAAGTGTCCAGTCCATATTTGGCTTCTTTCTGGGGGTTTTTAGAGGGTGAAATACCTCTTCATGAGCACTAGGGAAGCCATTCTGAGTGATACTGTCTATTTTAGAAGAGCAAAGGGAAATCAGTGGAAGGTAAGGAACAGTAGTCGAGTATTCCACTATTGACCCGTCCAGGAAAGTTCTGCTATGGGAGACCTAAGTTCCTGGCTCAAGAGAATACAGCAGTGCAGAGAGGAAAGAGGCTATTTCTTCAGTGGGTTACTAACATCCTCCCTGTTGTGAAGTAAATGAACTGGAAAACAGTCATCTCAGTTATTTTCCAGCTCTAGCAAGCAACCAATATTCTTCCTGTTTCAGATCCTGAGGGATAAGTGGGAAGAGAAATAAATTCTTCCACCTCTGCATAGGCTGGGGCAGTTTCTGCTCCACATATCCCCAAGAGCCTGACTTGCAACCCACAAATGGGAAAATCAGGCCTAAATCATAGTCTCTGCTCCTGAAAAATAGATGATGAACCCAATTTTCAGCCAGCCAGGAGGGGAACTGATTTTTTATTTATTTATTTTCCTTAGGGGCTTTCCTGCTCCTTTGTCACTCTGATATTCAGGCCTCAAAAACCTCAGAGCTCACGGGCTGGCCTACAGCTTAGCAATTATATCCTGATGGAGAACTTTCAGTCCTCTGTGTATAATCACCCCACTCATTTTCCTAAGCTTTTTCCAAACAAGAAGAAGATATTCTGCCCGAGGCTGCATGTACCCCCATTTCCGCAGAGTGTGGGAGAAAGGCCATGGGAGAAATTCCCTATCTGAATCCCCAAAGCCATGGAAGAAAATGGCAGGCTCAGAATAGATGTATTAGGTCCTTCTTTGAGTGACTATGATGAGAATTATTAGGGCAGAATCTGGCCAGGGATTCAATTGCCATTTCCTCTAGAAGATAATTATAGTTCCTTTATTTTGAAAAACAAATCCACTGTATATAATAATATATTAGCTTTACTATAGTACTTTGCAATCTAAATGTGCTTTTACATCTTATTTCATTTGATCTGCATAACAATCCCACGAAATAGATACCCTTAGTCTCCTTTACAGTGGTCTGAGGATGTATAGGTAACAAGAGGTTCTAAGACTTCAATATCCTCAGAAAGAAAAAAAAAAAAACAAAAAACAAGAGGTATCACTGGTTCTAAAATTCTGACCTTTCCAATCTGCCTAGAGGTAACAGGGAGTTAAGTGCCTTGTAAACTTGATCCACTCAATATAGTATAGATTGGAGAAGACTAATGGATTCCTGAAAGTTCTCCGTGGATGTGGTGCAATGCTTCATTGCCACTAACCCTTTCCCTCAGGATGGGCCCTTGTCTGAAGTAGGACTGCCAAATGCATTCCCAGGAAAGCCAAGGATACATATTTGCATGCTTCTCTGCAGAGATTTACATATCACTTTGTGCAGATCTGTTGCCACATTTTAAAAATTTGAATTCCAGGCACATAAAATAATTTCCCTATTCTCTGGAGAACGGGGCTAGTCACATCAAGCTGCCTTACATAAAGGCACTCTGACACATGTTCAATTATAAGTAAATATTTATTCCAGGTAAGTCATCAAATCATCAGAATCCTCACACTCTCTGATTCTGGGTGGGAGGTAGGTTTCTCCACCCCTACCCCAAGGAATTTGTCTGCAAAGGGAGCACATGTGGGAATATTACCTGACAGTCTTACTCCTTGTATGGAAATGGGATATCATATTACATAATATATAGAAGGGTGATTTGAATAATATGACATACTATATAAATATGGTATACTATGTAACTAAAAAGTAGCATATTGTTTGCATTATTAGTGATAATAATAAATGGAAAGCCCTTTTGTGTTTTCTTCAGCTCTTCCTTCCTCCTGTAGCCACATAAAAGCTTTCAGAATTTCTATTATTATCCTAGCTTGTTAACTTGAAGACCAATTTTATGATAAACCAGGAGTTTATGTAGACCAAGCACCACCATAAGTGATCTCAAACCTATCTGAGGGTACCAAAGCAAAATATAGATTATAAATATAATATGATATGCAAAGTAGTTCTGGGATCACCATGGTTTGGAATTGTGGTTATTTCTGTCTAGATGATCCAGACGGCCTTCATCAACTAGATGGAACTCCTTTAACTGCTGAAGACATTGTCCATAAAATTGCTGCCAGGATTTATGAGGAAAATGACAGAGGAGTGTTTGACAAGATTGTTTCTAAACTGCTGAATCTTGGCCTCGTAAGTCATATGCATGAGACTAAATCAAATTCTTAGCACGGTTTGGGGCATGCCAAGAAGCCAAGCCACTTGATTCAGGTGTTTATAATGCATCTACTTTATTCTAGTCACCACAGGTTTCAAGGACAAGTGAGGAATAATTCTTTTCCCCCAGGAGTTTATGGTCTGTCAGAAGAACTAGACAAGTGCACACACGCCCATAATGCAAGCTGCTTAAGAACCGCAGAGCAGTTCAGTGTGCCAGAGAAGAGCTTATAGCCAACTGGCAGTGAGGGAAGGCTTCAGAGGAAGAGGTGTTTGAAGTGAGCTTAGGAGGTCTACTATAAATAGAAAGAAATTAATTGGCCAACT